TCTGTGCAGAATATTATAGAGAGCTCATCTTCTAAACCATCATTTCTAGACATTCTCTCCTGATGCCTATTAGGGACAAAGATCTCCCTTTTGTGACCTCCGGAATTGCAAGAGCTGTGTGAGCAGTCAACACATCTATCATTTTGTTGTTGCTTTTGTTAAATAAGTATCACTACTCAAATTTTAAAATAAATTAGAATCATCAAGATGAAAATGATCTGACTAGTTTCCTTTGTCCTCAGCTCAGTAAAGTACCACCCCAGATGCTTCAGAGATGTCACCTAATTTTCTGAGTCCTAGCCTAAAGATTAGGAGAATCAAGGATATAGAACTTTCTAAATTTGGTACAACATTCAGATCCCCTGGGGGGGACTATTGATGTAAACTGTTGATGTTGTTGTCTATCTGATGTTTTTTCCTACCTGGAACAATCAAATCCTTTATTTCTGTTACTGAGACTATGTAGAGATCAGATCCTCTAATCACTGTAACTCTGGGAGTGAGGAATATGCATTTAGTTTTTTCAGAGTACTTTAAAGTCAGTAATGCAATTTGATGCTGGTATTTTAGAGAGAAAGATTTAATAAAAATATGATGTTCACATCAATAGTATCCCTTTAAGTCTTCCTGCTTACTTTGCATCTCTCCCTGCACCTAATGGGCTGCAGCCTGATACTGCCTTTCTATAGCACTTGAGGGAACACCAGATCATTACTCAGGGAGAGAACTAAAGGCTGTTTGGAGGTTCTCACTTTGTAGTGGAGTAAAATTAATTAATATTATCCCAATATGCCTCCTGTTACATCTGATGAATGTGATCTTGACTTGTACTTAAAGTCTGAGCAGACTCGTGCATTAGGAATTTTTCCAGAGGGGATTTTGTTAAGCCTTTGGAAGTGGAGTTACTTGTGTTGTGTATTTTCTGAGTGAGGCATTTTTGATCTAGTGAGTAGAAACCTAGAGTAGAAATGAAAAGTTCTGGGTTCTGGACTCAGTCCCTGTGTGAGTTTGTTGCCATGAATCTTGGCTTCAGTTTCTCTATCCCTAGGTTATGGACATTTCTTACCCTATCATAAAGTGTACTCAGCATTGTCTCATGATGATTCTTCACATCATGTAACAACCTTGTGAGGGAGGATAGATATCATTTGTTCTCATTTTACTGATGAGGAAACTGGGGTTTGATCAGGTTAGAAGACTGTTTTGAGGTTCCAGGGTCAGTAAGTGGTGTCTGGGTCTTCTGATACTTTCCTCAGTCTGTACTGACTTCTCCAGAGAAGTAAAATCTTCATTTTGAAGATTTCTTGAGTAAAATCAGTAAAGGGCTTTGAGGTCTTTCATTCAAGACCTCATTGGATTGAGAGGAGGTATTGGATGGTAAAACAAAGCAAAACAAATAAAACAAAAAACTACCAACCCAGGATCACATTAGAATCCTGCTGAGAAGTAGCCATGTCTCATCCTCATGTACTTTCCCAAAGAATTAAAATTGAGCTTTCTAAATGGTCACTGTTTTGGTGGTGACATCGGGGTGGTATGAGGGTGGGAGTGGTGAAGTGGCAGGGAGTGGACACTTCAGGCCCTGTTTTGGTCACCTACCCAAGTGCTTCTAACACTAAACATTGGATTATATGATACTGTTGTGCTTAATAAAAGTGATTTCTGACCATTTACTCAAAATAACAGTCTAGGAAAAACCATTCTGCTTGACTGATTTACAAAATAGTGGAGAATGATGGCAGATCCCTGTCAGAACTGAATTACTAGCTAAAAAGCATTGGCAATTAGGTTTTCAAAGGATCTCAATACTGGCCCTCAACCAATGACTAACACTTGTATGAAAATTTTTAATTTTGAAATAGTTTTAGACTTACAAAACACTTACACAAACTTACACAAAGCATTCCCATATACTCTTCACCCTGATGCTCCAAATAGCCACAGTACAAAGATCACAATCAGGAAATTAACATTGATGCAATACTGTAATCTACAGACCTTATTCAGATTTGGCCAATTGTCTCACTAACGTCCTTTTTCTGGTTCAGGATCCAATCCAGGATAACATGTTGCATTTTGTTGTCATGTCCTCTCAAAGTCCTTTAATCTGAAGTAGTTAGTTCCACAGTTTTTCTTTGTCTTTCATAACCTTGATACTTTTGAAGAGCACTGGCTAGTCATTTCATAGAAAGCCTTTAGTTTAAGTTTGTGTGTTGTTTCTTACTGATTAAAATCAGGTTATGCATTGTTGGTAAAAATACACAGAAATGATGTTGTATCCTTCTCAGTGCATCACATCAGAGGGTATGCAATTTATTTTTCCCCTTACTGGTGACTCAGACATTTGGCCTTTCAGCTGAAGTCCAGGCTAGTGTTTTTGTAGACCTTGGATGATACTATTTTTATTCATATATACCTTTGTTCATTTGATGACTAGGGACTAACACCAGTATGCATATGACTGCTTAGCCCTGTGAGGGATGAGATGAAATTAAACATGGAGCCAATGGATTTATTTGCAATCTAGTTGAGCAGACTAGGTATTCACAAGTAGTTAAAACGTGTAAGAGCGTCGTGGGGTGGTTTATGATTATTTTTGCTGTGGATCACAGTAGTCAGGGAGATTTTCTTGGAGGAAGCCATCCAGATCAACAAAGAACTCTAGCTTGACTACTGCTATTTAATCTGTAGGCAACAATGTCTATTGTTAGAGAGAATTGAGACAGAGCTGAACAGAAAGCAAAGCTGAGAATCACGACCTGAAACATGTAAAATGGCAAAAATCACAATATTAAAAAAAAGTGCTTAAGTATTATTCTGTAGCATTTTGTTCATGCCACTAGTATAGTGCTCGTCACAACATATTATGATCGTTTGTGATATTTCTCATCAAACAGATGTTGTGTTCCTTGAGGGCAAAGATGATGTCATTCATGCGCCTTGGACGGTGCCCGATGCCATTGTATCATAATTATTTGTTGAAACAAACTAAGAACTGAGCAATGTTTCTGAGCTAATTAGTGGAACGATTTAGTGCCTCATTCCATACATAGTGAATGCTCTATAAATTTTGCTGACAGAAAGGTTGGAAAAGTCATATCTGGACACAGCATCCATTGGTGAAGTCAGAGCGGGTAGATGAGATCCAGGAGGCAGAGAAGTGATGGTGAGGGGGGCGGAAGGGAGAATGAGGATGTGAGCACAGGGCTGAGGGGAAAGTTGAAGACGTGTGGAGGGATGGAAAGTAAGCCTCCTTGAAGGAGACTGAGAGTAGAAGACCGAGAACACAGCAGGACATTACCAGTGGCCTGCGGTTGGCCTAGCCAGGGGAAATGAAAGAGAAAATGGATGTTAGGAGCACAAAGTTGGGAACCAACCAGATATTTTCTAGGTGGCTTAAGTGTAGCAAAGGAAATAAAGTGTGTGTGTGTGTGTGTGTGTGTGTGTGTTGGGGGGTCAAAGTTGAAAATTTGAGGAAACTGAAAGGACGTGGAGTATGGTTATAAGACAGACTCACTAAAAGAATGGCAGTTGACATCTGACCAGAGGGGTCAGGGGCATTGGGAGAGGGACAGAAAGTCCTGGCAGGGTGTGAGAGTCTGGATGCCCAACAAGAGAACACTTGGCAGGCACTCTATGGGAGGCCTGGAGAAGGGCCAACTGGTTCTATCACTGCAGTGAAGGGGCCAGAGGCAGGTGGAACCATGAAGAGATGAGCACTAGGAAAGAGGAGGGGATCCTGGGAAGGGGCAGAAAAGCATATCTGAGAGGTGAGACTGATGGGATGGGATGGAAAGAAAGAGGACCAGGTGTGGAGGGAGGGCTTGGTCGTTGGTGGAAATGAGGCCCTTCTCAGCCTTCCTCTGAAAACATAAGTAGACAGAGTCTCAGCTTTGGAAATGTATCTAATCCAGTCCCATACACCTGAGCAGTGGGTAGTGCCTTGGGTACTAGAAGGCGAGGTGGGGGATGGGGAGAGGAGTTCATCTTGGAAGAGGCTAAACTGCTCATTTGATTTTGAACTTTGTTCCTTGCTGACTTGGCCATTTTCCAGTTGAGTCCCTCCTTCCTTTCCTCCCTCCCTTGCCACTCAGCTCAACGAGAGCTGGGCGCTGTTAGGGGCACCCATCTCTGCCCTCAGGAACTGCTTCTGGGGTGAAATGTGATAGTACTTGGTTTTATTGCTTACCCCTTTGTGCCGACTACTCCATTCCAAAGACCAAAGTAACTTAGCAGATTTCATTTCAGCTAGAAGCAAAATCCATGCCTGGTTAGTACTCATCCAGGCTGAGGGACCCACCTGGTTTGAACTGCCACCAGGTTCCAAGGGATCCTGGTTCCAGGTTCCACTTGGGATCACTGGGCTAGTTGAGGACTGGAACAGTTGTCTGGGCTTAGTTCTCTCTCCAAGTAATTCCAACCACCTGGAATCACCTGGGGGAGGGTTAGGGGTGAGGGCGTGTTCATGAAGCAGTGTCCTTTTGGCCTTAGGGCAATTGGGGTGTCAGTTGGGGTTTTCAATGACTGCAACTGGTCCTACACCATAGAACTACTCATTTCCACGTAGGAGACAGGCAGACAGATTGTATCTTAATGGTCCTTCTGGGGTATTTTAACAGTCAAAAAGATTGCTTGTTTGGTTTCCAAGTGGAGGATTTTGCTAACACCCAGTTTCACCTACTACGCCATCTAGGAGTTGAAAATCCAGCTGTGTCCTCTGTTTCTGGTGTCATTCAGTTGCCTGGGAGCAACTGACCTGCCTATTCCTGGCTGATTTCATGCTGCTGACGTTGAAGGCACGGGAGACACTGGTCTGGTCTCATTGCACATAGCCATGGCCTCAATAGCTTGGCAATTAGTTGGTTGTTCTTTTCCTTTTTTTCTTTTTCTTTTCAATTCATTTCATTTCCACGGCCCCTGTAATTTTGATCTTTCTTTTTTAGGTAGTTGTCCTGTGCTGTTGTTTTTTGTTTTATCTTTTGTTGCCTTTCCCTCTGCAGTCAATTCTATGACCTGGGGACTCCAGCATCCTTCAAGCAAGCCATTTCCAAAGAAGGTGACAAGACGCAGGATGATTTGCTTCTTCTCTTCCTCCTCCTCCTCCTCCTCCTCCTCTTCCCTTGCCCGGCCCCCTCCTGTGCGTGTGTTTCAGCCAACACAGGAGCCTGGATTGTGGAAAAGCCTCCAGCACAACTCAGCTCACCTCAGAGAAGTCTCGGAAATGGCCTAAGTTTGTGCAATAAGAAGATATTTTTTTTTTCTTTTTTAAAATCCTTCATTACATTTTCCTTAAGTGTCTGTGAGACAGTACCCAGGTCAGACTGGAATTGCTCTACAATAGAAATAACTGAACACAAACTGACAAAAAAAAAAAAAGTTAACTATTTTATTTATTTCGATATTTAAAAGAAAAAAGTGCTGAGGTGGCACAGTATTTTTGTTTAAAGTACCTTCTACTTCAAAAGTTAAAAGCAATTTTGTGAAGACGTGGAATCAAAAGAGTACTTAATGTAATATAAAAACTGCATATTAACGCTGAGGAAAAACACCCCACATTTTTAATAAGAAAATAAAGATCAACTCTGCTCTCTCAGGCTGTTTAAAAAGCCATTCATGTATGTGCTTTAGGTATTTTTATTTCTGCGAGTTGGACGTGGTAAGTGAGGAGTGATAGTTTTTTTTTCCTTTTTGAAATCGTTGGTGATGTTCAATGATTATGTGTTAAGACTTGACTGAAATAAATTAGCCACAAAGGCTATCAGCAGTTTCTCTGCGCCCTCCCCCCGCGGAAAAAAAAAACCCATCTCCCCTCACCCCAGGCAAGCCCCATTTATCTGAATGTCGAGAAGCAGCCTACCTCCTGGTTATCATGTCTGACGAGGCCTCATTCAGAAAGGAATTCCATCTAGTGATTAAATATATCTCTACGAGTTCAACAGATTCAAACGCAGACAGCTTTGTTTAAAATAATGCAGTGAAGGAAGAGAAAAAAAAAGACAACAAAAAATGAGCATCAGCTGAGATGATATTAATTTGGTCATCTAACAACTCCTAGAGGAGATTTGTGAAGGGAGCCTTCTGCTGAGCTGGCTCCAGGCCTGCGATTCTAGAATGTCCGCAAGGGCAAGGAAGGCCAACCTGAATGATGGAAGCCTCAAATCCAGTTGCTGGTGGGGGTAAAGGAGAAAGGCGAATGTCCTAGCATGTCCTTCTATGGCCACATTGGTGGCAGTGAACGTTATGGCCTATGAAATGTAATTCAATGTTGTGTCTGTGACCTAGTGAAGGAGCTGGGTAGACTGGCTGGGCCACTGGGTTCTGGTCTGTCTTTTACATGTCCATGCTCTAGAGTTTCCCTCACTTGTAAGCAGTCATAATAATAAATGTACAACCTAATGCTGGATAGTCTCGTCAGCAAAAGTCCTTGAGTGACAGTGTTACTGAAATGGTTCTGAGTCTGAGAATCTTTCTTTCGCCTTTGAAAGGGGAGATTGGATGGGCACAGACTTGCTGCCAGCCCTTTCGGGTTTCTCATTCAAAGCCAGTCCCCGGGGGAGGTCACCAAGAGTGTCTTTGTATCGTTTTGTACCACTTATCTATGACGTTTTCTGATAGAAAATGTCCTTTTTCAAAATGCTGATAATTATAACAATAATCCATTCTCCAACCAACTTCCACAAGTTATAACGTGTAGAATTGTGATAAAGCTTTGCATAATGTAGGGTTTGTATCAAGTTTGTGTAAGTTTCTGTTAAATAAAAGTCTGTTTCCAATGCTCCTATAGCATCTCTGTAAATTTTGCTTTACCAGCCTCATCCTACATGAGTTCAACTTTCATACCAACCTGTAGAGGGGACTCCTGAAAGGATTCTGCCCACTTGCATACCTGAGATTTGTTGAACCCTATTGTTTTATTTAGAAGCACAGTCTAGAATGGCGGTTGCCACTGGCTTGGCTGACAGGTGGTGGCTTGGAAAGTGAACAATGCCCAGGGTTGGTGTCAGCATCTTCTCTCTGAGTCCAGAGTTGCTGTCACCCACCTCGTATCCCCACGGCCATCGTCACCCTCTCCATGGCCAAAATAGATTTATGGAGAGTCTGGTTATGTATATGGACTTAACATACCTGTCCAATGTTGCTGTCACACCACTGCCAACAATGGTTTTGCACAAGAATGCGAGATTTAGTGTGTGCTTAGAAAAAGCTGGGAGGTTAATGTTTCCATCGCCTGAAAGGTGCTCTGAGTGTAGCCCCCAAGCTGCCAGTTGTTATGGCTGTAAACCGGCTCTCCTGTGATAGGCTTCTCCTTGTGTGTGGAGGTGAGCACTCTTCTCTGATGGATTCCCTAGGTCAGATGGAACCAGACTAGCCTTCCAGGCCAGTTCTTGCCCTCTGAGCATTGCCAGCCCATGCTGGGGCCTGGTGGAGATGGAATGAGCCCTTGTGATGTTGCTGCTAGCATGCTCTATCTTCTTTTAGAATGACTGTCACATTGTGACATTCACTGTAGACTTTTTAAGTTTCCCCTAGCAGTAAAAAGGACTTCTTTCTCCAATATACCCTCCTTAGGCTTTTTATTTCTTTTTATTGTGGTACAATTTGCACTACATAAAATTTACCATTTTAACCATTTTTAAGTGTACAATTTAGTGGCATTAAGTACATTCATGTTGTTGCACAACCATCACGGCCACCATCCATCTCCAGAACTTTTTCATCTTCTTCAATTGAAACTCTGTACTCATTAAACACTAACTCCTCATTCCTTCCTCCCCCCAGCCCTTGGCAACCACCATTCTATTTTTTGTCTCTGAATTTGACTATTCTATGTACCTTATAAAAGAGGCATCATACAATATTTGTCCTTCTGTGACTGACTTATTTCACTTAGCATAATATCTTCAAGGTTTATTCATGATGTAGCATGTGTCAGAATTTCATTCTTTTTTAAGGTTGAATAATATTCCATTGTATGCATCTACCACATTTTGTTTATCCATTCATCTGTCGATAGACACTTAGAGTAAAAAGGAAGTTTTGCCATTTATTATACACCATCCCCTTCCTACAGCAACTGAAATTTGAGACACTAGACCCAATTCAGAGGTCACCTAGGGGATTAAATATCTTCTTAGGAGGGATGTGATTGTATCTGAAATCTTCCCTCTAATTTATACCCTAGAAAATTGTACCTTGATTCTGATGGGCAAACACCCTACCTAAAGTGTGTCTTACCTCATGACTAAGGCCTTCTTTGTAGATATTGTCTTTGGGCTGCTTATGGGAACAAGATGTCTAGCATGGAGCTGTAGTATCAATGTAAATAACTAAGGATAGAGGAGACCCAGGAGAATCAAATGTCTGATGGCAGGCCATGAAGGCAGGGACTGCCTTTTTCAAATATCTGATGGTGAGTTGTTGGCAAAGCATACATGTGCTTTATGTCTGTAGATGGTCACTGATTAAGAGGGAGGGACAAAGTGTACATGTGAGCCAGAGAATGAGAAAGAGAAAAAGAAATTACTTTCCTCATCCATTTGGAAACATATTAGTTAATATACAGGGTTAGCTCTGGGGTCGAAATTCAGATGGCTGCAGAGCAGGGATCTTCAGCAAGTGAAGCAGGCCAGGTATGAGAAAATCGACAGCACCAGGGAGATGAGTAACAGCCCTTGATGCTCGGCCTCAGGACACAGGAAGACAACAGGCAGTGGTAGGGGCGTATCCAGCCAGAGAGCACCCGTGCTCCGAATGGGGCAGCTGCTACCAGCTCAAGGGATGCTGCCTGCAGGAATGTGGGCCTAGGGTTCCCAGGTCTCAGGTTTTTCAAGAGGGCCCAAAAATTCAAAAATTTTGGTGCGATCTCCCCATTTTTAAGTGTTGATAGTAAATAATAAACAAACACTGAAGATCAACTTTGTGTGGACTAAACCAAATGTAAGCGTGTACCAAACACCCTCCAATGGCTTTGGGACGGCTTTCCCCAAGAGCTGCCGGTCTGGGTAAGGCTGAAGTCGAGGTTGGAATGCCCTGACCAAACTCTTCCATACAGCGGATCCTTGACTTAACCTATGGCTGTGTCTAGTGGTGTCCTGACTTAGAATTGTTAAATGCTGAGAGTGGGTCCCCAGGGTGCTCTCTGGATGGAGCTAGGGCATTTCCAGCACGTGTCAAAGATTCAGGATGCAGTTCCAGTAGATGACATTTCCCCATCCAGTCTCTTTCTCTTTGTGTGTAAATGAAAGATCTTCCCTTTAAAACCCTGGGCAGAGCTGTACAGTTTAGAGATGTTTTTTATTTCACTTTATTCTTATTGATGACCAGTCATTCTGTTATATCACATTCTTTTTACCCTTCTTTTCTTTTCAAGAACCCCAAATTATTCCATGTGACTCGATCTGAATTTTTTATTGTGTCCCCAAACCAGCAAATTCAGAACTTCCTTTGATTAAAAAAACATATATATATCTTACAAAGTGTCTTCTGAAATAAGATCATATAAGATATAAAATACTTAAAAGACAAATTTAAGTAACAAAAATTCTAGAGGGATATGTATTATAATAATATCCCTCCAGAATTATTATAATGTATATATTATATACCAGTTGCTTTTGGTCTCTAGAGAAGATAGGAGAGGCACTGTGGGGCTTAGAACAATCGACAAACAGTTCTTTGACACTAAGAATTTTTGACTATTGAGGCTGATGTGGAACTCACTGACTGCCAAACATTTCTCCTGTGTGGAGTTAGGGGCATGGGCTAGATGACCTCTTGGGGTCTCATCTAGCTCTGCAGTGCTTTGAATTGTAGCTGGGCAACCTGAAAGAGTTAGTGTCTAACTCATCACCAGGGAGTGGGGAGGCACAGGGAAAGCTAGTCTCAGGAATGCGTATTGTGCTCATTAACTAAAATGACATTTCTAGGCTTGTTCCTGTTCATATTGAAGCAGTGTCCCAAGCCCATATGGGGACTTCCCTTGTTTTGGTAGTGGGAGACACCAGCTGGAAAGTGATTGCAGCCTTTCCTCTAGAGAAAGGCCAAGTATGTAAAAAACGAACAATGAGGAGCAACTGAAAAGGACAGTGAGGCCAAAAGGCCACAAGGTGAAAATGGTTCTGCTGGAAACTCATCTGAGTTCCTCTCCAGTTCTCATCTCATGGGAGTCCACCATGGCCAACGTCATCCTGGTGCATGGATTTAGTGCTCGCTCCTAGGGCCTGGATATTATTCTCAGCTTGGTTTTGATTGAATGACCTTACTAATATTCATGGTTGACTACTCCCTTCTCCCCAGCTTAGTAGGGGAAGAAAGGTCTTATTAGAAGGCAAAGTTCATTTTATATTTATAAGACAAAAATCTGCTTGGGAAAAACGGTGATAAGGATTCTTCTAAATAACTTAGAAAAGAACTCCTATAGAATAATTTTGCTCTGTGTTTGATTTAAAGAAGTAGCAAGGATTGCACCATATTTAGTGTGTGAAGTCAACTTTCTGTGGGCCAGAAATATAAAAGAGGTTGAGAATGGAGATAACTGTGTAAGAAGGGGTGGAGGAGGGGCGTGATGAATTGCTAGCATGAACTCTTATGCTGAAACTTCTACTTGGCTGAGCTATGGGTTCAGAGATACTGGCAGTTTGTAATCTTGAAAACTTCTTTAGTTAAAATAGATTGTTTTTCCTCA